GCATGTTTTAGCGGAAGTATGCTACTTTGCTTGTATATTGGTTATCTCATATGGGTATGAACAGTTGTAGTTATTATGGTATTCTTGTAAATTTGCAATTTCTTTGATAAATATGAGATATAAATATGAGATCTGTGGCATTGTTCGTGAGCATCAAATGGGAAACATGGCTTTTGCAGAACAAAAAAAAGACTACAATTCATTTCCGAGCACGTGCAGATGAGGTTTGAGAAGAGGGCCGTACTTGATTACTGGTACTTGAGAAGCGTGGTATTTGGTGATGCAGAAGTTTTGTGAAGAATGTGCAAAAAGCATTAGCATCGATCTATTTTCGCACATTTGTCCATTCATCGCATTTGATCGTCAGTTTTCAAGATCACAGTCGATCTGCACCTTATCCTTTTCGCACTTTCAGCATCCTTACATTTTCGCAATTCGTCGGTGCTTCAACTTTCATGATTCTCCATTGCCGCCTAGTAAGAATGCAGCAGACTTACCGCGCTCCAACAGAACCGCACGAGACGCAGCCGCTCCGCGTTGCACTTGAAATTGCCCGGCGTTTGATCATTATCTGTTCTGCCTTCTTCTTTACCTTTTTATAACAATCGAAACTTGTAATGAGTATATCGTTAGTACGAATATTGCAAACAAAGTCACAGTGGCCATGATGGATGAAAGCTAACCTGACAGTGAGAGCTAAACTCAATGTGAAGAGACTCGCCGTTTTACGTGCACTGGAAAATCCCCGAACTAGTTCTTCATTCAAAAAACCACTGAAGGGGGACGGGGGGGGGAGGAACTAGGGATGTAGTAGGTTACCAGATACCCCCTAAGAAGTATAGTTGGAGTTGTTATTCAATTCCTTTCTCGAACACTATCTGCTGGAAGATATCGGGCTGAAGTAACTGTCGATTTTTTTTAAATTTTGGTGGGCGAGAAAATCTCAGTCTTCTATTGGTCGTGATATATTGGTTCATTTGTTGACCCTTGTTCAATAATAGTGAACTGAAACCTCGTCCGACATGTTTTCTGGTGTAAGTCGTGCGGAAAACGTAAGTAAAAGGCTCAATCGAATCACGGTGCTCGACAACGAGGGGGGGGGGGGGGCATTTTGCACTTTCACTGCTTCACTAGTTCCAGTTTACAAGTTCCACTGTGGTGGAACCTGTGAACTCTTGTGAAGCTGGAGCAAGCTCATTGAGCCACTATGGCAGATGGTATTGCATTGATTTACAGGAGTTGAAAGGTACTCTTTACAAGAGCAGGTAAGTGGTCTTTCTGAACTTCGGCTGGTCTCATTTCGTGGCTTCACACGACTTCGCAGGTCCACACTAGACGGCTCGACGCGACGCAATGGGAAGCAGCGAAAGTTCAACCCCCCCCCCCCGGTCGCCGAACTGCTCCTCAAATCACTTTTTTCAACTTGAGTCATTTCTTCAACAATTTTGCGCTCGTGAACTGTGACAATGGTTCAGTGTTGAAATGTTGAAAGTAAAGATTGGAAATCGTGTAAGTTATTAGAGATTCCTTCTTTTATAACAAGGGGTGGGCTTTGTCCGCTTTTTTGGATATTTGAACGGCATAATAGGAAAAACGTTTTTAGAACTCTGTAGGCTTCGTCTTGGACTCTTAGAGAGTTTGACATAAACCAGCTTTTTCATTCAGCCCCAAAAATGGTACCTCACGGGTGAGCTGTCATCGCTGGGATGGAAGACCTTTTTTGTGTTGGACGCTAAAGTAAAGAGAGAATTGATGACATTTTGTGAGAAATGTTATGCGACCTTTCTATCGAAATCCATTATAATGTTCAATGTACCTCCTACATTGTATCCATTCAGAATGGATGATGACGCCTCCGTTCTGGAGTTACTCCGGAAAAAGGAAGAATTGCTAAGGTTACTACAAGAGGCTGGAGATGATGATGATGAGGAGGAGGAGGACGAAGAAGAGGATGAATATGAATACCGCGGTTTGTAACTTTGAATCTGTGTTGCGTATTGATTGCTGCAACAGTCTTATGTTTTACACTCACAAATAAGAGTTGTTTTGAAGAGTCTAGTAGTGACGACGAAGACGATGAAGTGGGAGACGAAGATGACGATGATTATGATGTTGAAGGAGAAGATGATAAAACACGTGGTGAATCTCCTTCTCCAAAAAGGCCTCGATTGGACGAAGCCGTGGAGAACGGTTGTCCTGCTACTACATCCTTGGCAGGTAGATCGCTTTCCTATTTGTGATGCAGTAAAGCGGAATCTAAAGTTTTTCTTTTGTACTTTCCAACAAGGGGCGATGCTCACCTTGGGTCCCGTTCATGCTTCGCGGCTCTAGCGACTCATTTTCTGGTTGCGACTGACCGCGCTCCGCCGCTCATCGTCGAACTGCTAGTATTGCTGATTGAGCGAATCTCATAGATTAAGCGTGTCAACCAGCATTTCAGAAACAGTCACGATTTAGCCTTGGAACTACTGACGAATTGCTGGGTCCCCTTTGAAAGTGATCATTGCGGTCGCATCACATTTGTTCTTCCTTTACTTAAAAAGTGTTCATTGTGTGGTGAAGTCAGCGTATTCGCGAGAACGTTTTGATACGTATCGATAGGAAAATCGGCGATGTTGCGAAAAGGGTTCGGGTGTGATCGTATTTTACCCCAGCGTTTTGAGCTCCAAGAAAACTGCATATGTTTATCTAGCGTTTCGAGCGACTAGGAGTAGTTATCACAGAGTGGGGAAACAGATGCCCAGCATTCTACGCCAGATTCATTCCTAGACTTTATCGGATCCTTCAAAACTCTGATGCAAAGTATGAACGCTTGTTGTAAACGTATCGATTTCACTGACTCTGTCCGAATGAACAATAGCAGAGCAGACAAAACGCTAGCTTCGCGCGCTTGCTTCTCCTGTTCTCCCGACTGGTACGTATCTGACCCTTTTCGCGTTAAAGTTGACACAGGATTTATCCGGTCTGTCCACCAACTCTGGCCAACACTTACCAGAACCTTATTAGTTTTTTTTTGTTTCTCGGAATCTTACTTAGTTCGGGAAACATGATGGATGATAGAATAATACTAATTGAATTGATCAACTTATTCAACAAGCAGCTGGCACTGGGTCGCAGTTGAGCGCGGATAGACGCAGTCGCGCAACTGGTGCGCTCAAGTCGCGAAGTATGAACACAGTATTATTTGACTTCTGGTGCTTGACTTATAATAGAAAGAGAATATCGCAGCCGTCACTACACTCGTTTCTTAGGTGATCAATGGAAAAGTGTAAACGGAATGGCATGTCCAGTTTCACAGGCTTCAGTTTCAGTTGGTGAAGGGTAAGAGGGTCCAAAGAATGTTTAATTATTCGATAATGTAGCACAAAATTTATAATTTTTGTATTAGGTCAGAATCATGCTCACAGAAAGCTCTCGAAGAAGACCAGGACTTGGAATACGAAGGTGCGCTTCATTTCCAGTTGTCGTAAATTCTTTTACCTTTCATGCTGATTATGTTCCAGATGATTTGTATGATGATGGCGTTGATGTTCACGACATCCTGGAAGAAGCCGTCGACAAGATTAAGAAAGAAGCAGAAGAATCTGAACCTATACCGATTATGTAGGTTTCGAGATGTTTTAGTATAGTTCCAGCAACAGGTTTGGGTATATTTTCTCCAATCTTCACTTCTTGTTACTTGTTGCTCTGTATATATTCCTGCTCCGTTAAGATGGAAATACGTGCCCGAACGCCTTGAACATGATCATTTTATGAATCTCCCAGAAGGATGGGCTCGTATAACGCATAACAGTGGGATGCCTGTGTATCTGGTAAACTCTACTTTTCAAAGTTTTTTTTTGTCTAGCTTGGCTGAGGTTTCGGCACTATTTACCCTTTACTGCCCCAACCATCCAGAACTGAGCCAGTTTTTGACCGACTTTTTTCTCCGTGGACAGATTTGGCTCAAATGTTGTCTCCTGGGGTAGTTTGACCTCCTGAATACGAATATCACATTCGCTCAGCCCGAAACTTCCTGGCGCCCGCGCCACACGCCGGTGATTTGGGGTATTTTGGCGCCAGCACCTGTAGCGCGGGCGTCAGGAGGTTTCGGTCGAGCGGATGTGATATTCGTGTTCAGGAGGTCAGACTACCCCTGGAACAAGTTTTCAGCGAATTTGGTGATTTAGGGTATTTTGGCGCCGGCGCCTGTGGCGCGGGCGCCAGGAAGTTTCGGCTGAGCGAATGTGATATTCGTATTCAGGAGGTCAAACTACCCCAGGAGACAACATTTGACCAAATCTGTCCACGGAGAAAAAAGTCGGTCAAAAACTGGCTTAGTTCTGGAGGGTGGGACAGTAAAGGGTAAATAGTGCCGAGGTTTCTTGCTTTTTCTACATGATAGCCTTTGTCAGCATCGAAAGACACGTGTGATATCGTTGGCGAAGCCTTACTTCATCGGAACCCAAGGAGTTCGTGACCATCGTATCCCTGTCACAGGAGTGCCATGTCTTCATCAGCGGAAAGTTCTTGAAAGGGTACTTATACAGCTTTACTTCTTGAGATACACACTGACCCTTTTTTCCCGTGGCCGTTTAGGACGCTGCTCTTGCGAAAGAAGCTGAGAAACAGAAGAATATTGCCACCGAATCAGCTTTGGAAAGTGAAATCAAACAGAAACTTATCGCTCCTGCCGTGAAGATTGAGGTTTGTCTCGTTTAATAGCTGAGAGACATGAATTTTCAGGATGGGCGCTAGGGGGGTCAGAGCACATCCGAGGGGTTTTAAAGTTGGAGAGACTTGCAAACGGTTTCATATACGCGGCGCAGCAAGTGATTCAACACGCCAATGTTGCCGCAGGTCAACTCGCATGTCTCGAGTGCGTTCATACTTTACGTCAGCGTCCAGAGCATTTTTAGCGAGCGACAAGCTAGGTAGAAGTATCGATCCAGCGTTTGAGCCTAACGTTTTCAGGGTTTTGAACATCCGTCAGCATTTTGAGCAACTAACAAAGTATAGGTATGGATTCCCGCCGAAACGCTGGCGATCGCTCAGAGCGCTGGTAGGCGCTCAATACATCAGGTCTAAACCTGTGCTTTTCTAACCGCTCAGAACGCTGGCGGGCGCTTAGAACACTGGTTCAACACCTATTCTTTCCTAGTCACTCAAAACGTTGACGCAAGTATGAACGCACCCTTAGGCGACAGCCAGGGAAAGCGGCGGCGTTACTAGACTTATTAGTCCTCACCCTACCACCGAGATAGTGACCCCATCCCCACCGGCCTCTCTGAAAGAGCGCAAACGATTAGAGTGGGAACTGCGCTCGGCCCAGCCCAC